GCTGTCGTTGTGTCCTTGGGCAAGACACTTAACCCACTTTGCCTATAAGGAGCGCAGAAGTGATGTTCGGGACAAATAAAGACCTTCAAATAAAAAATATTTTTTTGGTTCTTTGTTTCCTGAAATTGAAAAGAGACCAGTTTCAGATCAGTCAGTGACTCACTTTTTACTCTTACGCAAAGTTTAAAAAAAAGAAAAGAAATGCTTTTCAGTAAAATTTTCTAGTATTACAACGTGGGACAGGTGCGGCTTATAATCCAGTGTGGCTTGTACAACTACAAAAAATTAAAATTATTTCTGAAAATTAGGGCCTGCGGGTTACACGGTATTTCAAAATGCTCAGGTCAAACATGTGAGGTTGCCTTAACACAATTACTAGTTGTTTACCCACTGATCAATATCATATGTTTTGGGGGTCAATGCTAATCTCCTTTTTTGGAATACTAGAAAGAGTGTATTTTTAATTTAATCACATTTGAGGTCAAATTATCATTATTATACAGCGGTAATAGTAAGAGGTTAAAAGGGCTACCATGGCCCTAACGTATTGTGCAATTTTCCTTTTAATATTATCTGCCAAACTACACAACAAACTTATCTGCCTAAACTACACATTTCAAAGAATCCATTCCGACAGCTCCTGGAAGGACGCCACTTCAAAAACTGCATATGCTGTACTTGGGCTCATTATACGTTTATAATCACTGCAGAAATTACATCATCATAATCTCCAGAAGCCATTTAAGCTTTCATTTCATCTCCGCATTCATATTTCTCGGAATTGCGTCTGCGCCAAGGCCAAGGTGACCCAAACTCCCTCCTTTTCCATTGACTCCTAATGACCGCAAGTGTCGACAGTTTGACTAATAAAGCTTCGCTGGACTGTTGTAACGCGGCATCGATCATGGAGGTGTCGTGCAAAGGCATCATATCTGATATTTAATAAAAGGCCAGTGTCTCGGAGATGAAATGGCAAGCCACTATAGTAACATACGACAGTGCAGTACGGGGAAAAAGGTTACCGCCCAAGCAAGGAGATTTATTTTGGGTAATAGGACGTTGGTTATGGAAGCAGAGGAAGCGGTAAAGGCTCTCCTATTGCGTCATATAGCAGTGTTTCCCAACCGGGGGTATAGGGTACGCAGAGGTATTTTAGTATACTTGAAATGATGTATTATATTAACTTTCAAACATTGATAGAATGAGGTTCGTGTGAGTGTTCAGGACATGTTATACATCATTTTAAGGCTGTTTCACTTACAGAAACAGCTGCATAACTTCTCACATGTCGTGCATCTGTGCAATAATTTGGATTAATATTAGATTGTGCAATATGGAGACACAATGGCCACTGTCACCATGACTGTTAGCCCAGACCCCATGCTGCTAACACGCACACTGTGAATAATTGAACCCTCAGAGCTAATGACGCACTTCCCTAATATTATTGCACTAGAGTGAATTACAGATAAATACTTATACCTGGAATAGTTTTTACTTTGCTTCTTGATTAAACTTAGAGATTTTACTTTTTTATTAAGAGTACAAAGTTGTGGTATACAGTACTCATATCTTGTGTTATGCGCTCCTCATTTTGTAACTTGTAAAGCACCACTGACAATTCCCCACTGTGGAACGAATGAAGAATCTCTTAATCGCTCTTGACCTTAATTTTTTTTAGTCTATTACGAACATTGAACATATGAAGCAATTAGTAAAAATACTCATGCTTGTTCTTGCAGGCTGACGTTTTAGCTTTCGGTCAAGTTTTGTAGCAGGAAGCAGTTTAGAAATGAGTATTTTTGAAAACAGCGTGTAGCTTTAATGTGGTGCAAAACATATCTGTCTTTGAGCTTAATGCGGCTGTACACTGTCCCTTTTAAATAAAAACTGAAAAAAACAGCACATGCAATGAAATACTGTATGTCAGCCTTTTTGACTACGTTTTGTTATAACATGTTTTACCTCTTTTTTCATAGCTTGGAAAAACTTGCTTTTGATTCAAAGTCATCTCTATATCCACGCATTCCCATCTGCGTCTTTGTCTCTGCACTGCTGCAAAGTGCCTCAGCCGTCCTGCGCATAGTGAACTCTGGAGACTCATAAAGTCCATTCATTGCAAATGGAGAAACAAACGAGGCTGTAACTGCTTTATAAAGACGTTACCTCCTCGGATTGCGAACTCCATAAACACGTTCTATTACTTCTCTAACAACCATAGTTAGTCTGGCTCTGGTTTTTGCATTTTTGAGAGGGAAAAAGATTTGAAAACTGGAGTCGGCTGCTGTCTTGAAGTTAAATGGGATTTTGAAGATAAAAGTTGCAAAGTGACCGATGGAGAGAGCGGTGGTCCAGCGGGAGAGGCAGCATGCGGTCCCTATTTCATCACAATGTCTTACAAGATTTGGTTTGATAAACATTCTGTTAGGATTTGAATTTAAACTAGTGTGCTTACAGTTTTACAATTATATAGCTAGAGTGGAACTACAGTGGAAACCCAGGCAGAAATTTGATTTTTTTTGGCCAGACCATAAATGATAGCACTTTTCTCATTTGCTGTTGGTGGGTTTTATTTTCAAAATATAACCCATAACACAAATGAAAGGGGGCCCTGGAATTTACAGGAACTGGAGACTTTTTCCAAAGTTGAGTTGAGCTCAGAGTGTGTGGATCATACTTTAAACAGAAGATCAGCTTTTCCACGTCCATACGTGGCCATACTTGTACGCGAAAGCCATGCTTTTCAGGCCACTGAAGCTGTGCAGGACAGGGCCTGGTTAGTGCTGTGATGGGAGACCTCTGGGAACACCAGGTGCCACAGTGGGTCGGCTGCGGCTGTAAAGTATCAAATTGTCGTAGTGTCCTCAGGCAAGACACTTCACCCTCCTTGCCTAGAATGAGTCTGGTGTGTGTGAATGGTTGGTGGTGATGGGAGGGGTCGATGGCACAGACTGGTTGCCTGGCTTCTGTCAGTGTGCCCCAGGGCAGCTGTGGCTACAGTAGTAGGTTATCACCATTGTGTATTGAGTGAAAGAATAATACCATGTGAAGCATCTTTGATATTGCATTATTGTTATTATTTGTATTATCTATCACAAAAAACTCCTGTGGAGACCTGCGGGATGGAGACCACGTCCCAGGTCTTACCCCACTATTTGAGAAGAACTGGAGTAAAGTGATCTTACTTCCTGGTTGTAGTCAGTCTAACATCCCCCATTAATTTTCTGCGTTACAAAATCATTGTTCAGACAGACTTGGCGCTTTGCTTCTGAAAGGGTTTTGAAAAGCTCCTTGCACAATGCGTTTCTTAGTCCTATCACCGCCATCTGTCCCGTCTCAGCAGCGTTCTCCAGCCCCCTCCAAACCCACAGGTAACGCAGTATTCCTTCTGATCCCAAATCCAATCGCTCACTTTTATCTTTCATTTGTATCCCGTTCGCCCACACAGAGATGCATAGGTGGGAGCAAAATTAAAAGTAGTTACGACTGGGTGTATAATTCATTTACACTGATGTAGCTCAACTTTTTCAAGCTGGTGATGTAAAATATAGATAAAAATCTGGGGGATAGAACAGCGATCCACAAATGCTGTTATGTGATTATGACCTTTAACAGTGCATCTGTCTGGGATTGGCTGTCTGAGAAAAATAATGAGGATAAACATTCTTAAATTTGTGTTCTGGAGCAGAAAGGAAGGATTACATTAATTTCTGTAGTATATATATATATATATATATATATGTGGTATACCGAGGGTGTGGTTTGATTTTTAAAAAACCCAAGGGTCACAATCAAATTACAATATAAAAAGGAACACAGGTAAGTATCTAAGTTAAAATATGACAGAAGTGAATGAAAGTTTAAAATGTTTATTGATAAAAGGATGCTGCTAAAAAGAGAAAGGAATTTGGACAAACTAAAGTTAGAAAAGGTCAATTTTATTTAACAAATTAAACAATATATAAGAAGGTTATCCAAAAGTTAAAAGAATGGTAAAGATGAATCTAAAAAGGCCTAGATGCTAAAAATGCAAATACCAAAACAAAAAGGGAGCTAGCTGGGGCCACCGGTGGTGAGCATGCTACTCAGGGAGGTGCCCAGGGGTGCTACACAGAATACTCACCACAGTGGACACAGCAAAAAGACACAGCAAATGAAATGTGCAAACTAACTCGTGAACCAAGTGCACTAAATCACATGCAAAGGTGGGGGACCACACCAATGTGCCTAGCCAAGCCACCAGAGGCACCCAGCGTCGCTAAAAGAAAAAGATAAAAGTTGCTAATGAGAAGTACGACTGGACCCAGTTGGTTTTAGACAACCTGTTGCTGTAAACATAAATCAAAAGATTTAATTAAACTAAACTAGTCAGAGAAACTATATTAACAAAATAAAATGCAAAAGTATACATCAAAGAACAAACTAGACTAAAGCAAGTGGCACAAAAAAACAAAACAAGAAACCAGCAACTAAAGAAAACCAGTAATGATACAAACAAAAGCAAAACAAACATCAAAACAGAACAAAAACAAAACAATGACAAAGTAAAACAGCAGCAGGTTAGCCTGTGTGGAACAAAGTTATAATTATTGTTAAGGCTGACTAAAACTAAAACTTGCCACCAACTTACCACCCTTGACGGTTAGGAACCAGCACTAAATAAAAACAAGACCAATTGTCACCATTGGGGCAGAACGGATTAAGGACAGAAAAAGAGTAACAAGTGGTAAGGGCCTACCTCCACAGCAGACTTATGCTGCCTACCCACTCCAGCACTACAGCAGCAAGACCAATTTGGACAAATTCATGAGGAAAGGACCACAGCTACAGAGCACACCAGCATCACAAAATGGCTCCCCTCCAACTTACCCAGATGTTTAAAAGGGGCAGCTAACTAGTGGGTGGGGCGAGGGTGGAGCTAGGGGTGGAGCCACAGGGCACACCAAAGCCCCACTACATTCTACCCCCCAAGACTTTAATCGTCGGCCCGACGATTGTGTTTACTGCCATGGCCGGAACACTCTTGTACTGGGTGCGGGCAATTGCGAGTTTGTAGCCCCTATTGCATTACTCCCTACTGGTTGGGGAAGGTGGTAGCGATTTGGGTGTCTTCCGGCCGTGGCCCGAGTGGTCCTCCTTGGAGGGGCATCCTCATCACTCGGTGGGTCTGTGACGGAAGGAGCTGGTACTGAGGTCCTGGGTGTGGTGCCGCGCCGAACCGGTTCCTCTACTCTAAGAAACCACTCTCCCTCGGCCAGTGGCCCTTCGGGTGCCGTGGCGATAGGAACTGGCACGGGCTCCATAGGAGGTGGTGCCGGTTGATCCACTTTGCCCTTTATCAGTGACCGATGGACATTTTTTACTTGTCCAGGACTGTTGACCGGAGCGATAGTGTACACGCAACCTCCAGGTTTGGGTGCAGTTACGACTTTGTGCACTACAGAGCTCCATGAATCTTCGATCTTGTGGCGGCCTCGGATTCCAACATTTTTCAAGTAGACCAGCTGACCCTGTGCCAACGGCTGATCGCGGACCTTTGCATCATGGTTTGTTTTCCTGTGTACCGCCGCCGCGTCCAGGTGCCTTTTTGCTTTGTCAAAGGCATGCTTTAGTCGCCGTTGATGTTCGACGATCCACTCTTGAACAGTGCCTGCGACCGGCTCCTCGATGCGCCCAAGAATGAAGTCGACTGGCAACTGTGGGTCTCGACCGAACATCAGGAAGTAGGGAGACTCACCCGTGGACTGATTTGGGGTGGTGTTGTAGGCAAATGTCATCTGGGGCAGGTAGCAGGACCAATCCCTCTTCTTTGTTACTGGCAGAGTGCGCAAGAGGTTATGAAGAGTTCTATTGAACCTCTCGCACTGCCCATTTCCGGCGGGGTGGTAGGGCGTAGTGTGAGTCTTTTGAACCCCGTACAGTTGACAAAGCTGCTGGATCAATGAGCTTTCAAAGTTCCGTCCTTGATCGGAGTGAATACGTGCTGGCACTCCGAATTTGTAAAACCACTCCATGACGAGGACTCTGGCAGCGTTAGATGCCCTCTGGTCTCTGGTGGGCACGGCTTGGGTGTACTTTGAGAAGACGTCCGTCATGACCATCACATTCTCCATGCCATTCTGTGAGGGTTCCAGAATGGTGAAGTCAATGGCCAGGATCTGGTTGGGGCGAGAAGCCAGTAAGTGTCCCATGTATGACCCGCCAGATCTGCTTTCTTTGGCGACTTGACATCTTTCACACTCTTGGCACCATCTCTGGATCTCAGCGTACATTTTGGGCCAGTAGCATCGCTGATGGATTAGCTCCGATGTCCTCTCAATTCCCTGGTGCCCATGCTCCTGATGTAGTTGCTGTAACACCAGTTCTTTCAGAGCACAGGGGAGGACCAGTTGGAGGGCTTCTTCCCCCTTGAGAGTAATCCGGCGGTAAAGTATATTGTCCCTGGTGAGGAGCCGAGACCACTGTTGGACTAGGATCACGGTGTCCCTCAAGAGGTTGCGCCGCTCTGTTGCGTTGGGACGCCTCTCCTCTCTCCAGAAGTGCAGGAACTCTCCAATCATGGGGTCAGCTTCCTGTAAGGCACACAGATCAGCAACAGATTGAGATGGCAAAACTGATATAAGGTTGGAAGATACGGGTTGCCTGGCTGAAATGGCTTGCTGCAGTGGTTCTGGCATAGGAAGGCCTAAGGGTACTGGAACATGGTCATGATTGGCCATAGGGTTTTGGCGCGACAGAGCATCAGCGTTGCCATTAGCTCGTCCTGGCCTGTATTTTATGGTAAAATCAAAGTTGGCTAGCTGGGCAGCCCAGCGTTGTTCCAGGGCACCGAGTTTGGCAGTGGACAAATGGCTGAGTGGATTATTGTCTGTAAACACGGTGCATTTATGTCCAATCAAATAGTCTCTGAACTTTTCGGTCATTGCCCATTTAAGTGCAAGAAACTCTTGTTTCATTGAACTATAATTGTTCATGTTCCGCTCGGTAGGGCGAAGGCCACGGCTCGCATAGGCTACTGGTCTAATCTTGCCATCTTGTTCTTGCGAGAGGACTGCGCCCAACCCACTGTAGCTGGCGTCAATTTCAAGTATGAACGGTAGTGAGAAGTTTGCGTAAGCTAAAACAGGCACTGCCACCAACCTTTGTTTAAGTTCTGTAAAACTGGTCTCACACTCTGGAGTCCATGCAGTGGGCAGTGGAGTCTTTGAAGGCCTCCTGGTCTTTGTCCCATTAAGCTCTGCCACGAGACGATGTAGCGGGGCGGCCAGTTTTGCGAAACCCTCAATGAACCGGCGGTAAAATAGCTGGTGAATCCGAGGAAAGAGCGGAGCTGTGGAACAGTTGTTGGATGGGGCCAATTTGAGACAGCCTCAACCTTGCTGGGGTCTGTAGAGACACCATCCCTGGAAATTACATGGCCCAGATAGCCCACTTCTGTCTTGAAAAATGAACACTTCTCCAGTTTTGCTTTCAGTCCTTCTTCCTGCAGCCGAAACAGTACGGTCTCCAGCCTTGCGATGTGTTCTTTGACTGTGGATGAAAAGACCACCACATCAGCCAGGTACAGTAACAATGATTGACAGTTCTGGTCACCAAAAATCCTTTCCATCAATCTCTGGAATGTTGATGGCGCATTGCACAGCCCGAATGGCATCCTGTTCCATTCAAACAATCCAAAGGGGGTGCAGAATGCAGTCTTCATTTTGTCTTGTTCTGTTACTGGTACTTGATTGTACCCCGCAGCGAGGTCCAGCGTCGAAAACCATTGGGCCCCAGAGAGGGCGTCAAGGGACTCCTCTATTCTGGGCAAGGGGAAGGCATCCTTGCGGGTTTTACTATTAAGGAGCCGATAATCGACGCACAAGCGGAGGCTGCCATCTTTCTTATTGACAAGCACAATGGGAGATGCAAAGGGGCTACAACTTTCCCGAATCACCTGCGACTCCAGTAGCTGCCGGATGTGTGCTTTGGCGGCCTCATACTCAGACGGTGGTATCCATCGGTACCGTTGCTTTACAGGCACCTCGTCAACTAGGGGGATCTCGTGGGAAATTAGGTTAGTGCACCCTAAATCTCCCTCATGCTGAGAAAACACATTGTCATACTTATGAAGAAGGGCCCTGACACTGTGCTGATCCTGATCTGAAAGTGCGGAAAGGTCCATAGAGTCAATCCTAGCCTGCATTGGTATGCCAGTCTGAGAGGACATAGTGGCACTAAACTGACCTGTGACAGGTGAACAAACAATCTCTGCCTCAGTCAGAGTACCTAGTACAGTACGTGGGTACAATAGGACGTCCTGGTTCCCTACATTAACAATGGGGATGTAAACTCTGCCATTATCAATATGGACCACGGATGGAGAAGCCAAGAGTCCCACTGGCAAGCCGTCTGTACGGGGCTCAAACAACGCGTCTGTCTCTAGGCTTTGCTGAAAACAAGTGGCAGCTACCATCTTAACAGTACCTCCTGGAACCCTGCAAGCTTTACCCTCCTGTACTTTTACTGTGCCCGAAAGCAAAGGAGGGCCTGCGTCAATCCGGTGACAAAATCGAAGCGCTTGCTGAAGTGTGGGTGGGGCCTGTAAGACAGAAGGCGTGTAAAAGAGGGCATGACCAAACTGAGAAAACAATTCCTGATAGCACTCTTTCAGGATGTTTCATGCCTATAACTCCTGCAATGTTATATACTATATACATATATTTTTTTATGTATATTTTTTTTCATTTTTTAAGATGCACTACAAAAAAATGATAAACAATGAGGTAATAAAGGCTTACAACAAGTGTCTTAATTTGAGTTCATTTTCTGACAAAACATTTAGTTTTCTTTCATTCCAAGGGAGATATTTCTTGTATCTTTTTAAAATAAGATAATTCCGCTTGACCTATTGGAAGATCTTGCTTGAAGATCAATTTTGCACATTTTGTCTTTTAGTCAAAATGGTCTCAAATTAAGATACATTTTGCAAAAGTTGACCAATAATACCATTTTGTTTTGTGTTTTGTGTTATTATTTTTTTTTAAACCTTTTTTTAATATAGGCTTTTACCAAATGGTTGAAATGCAGTTTGATGGTATAAGTGCCTGAAACCAAAAGATAGAGATGCCCCAATGAGGTAGATTTCAGTTCCAAGCATATTTCAAGTAGATACAGTGACAAAAACGAGTTGAGGGTTAAAGATCGAGGAACTAATGTCATGGACTTTACTATGTTGTTTTTTAGTTTTGGTTTGAATATGAAGTGTCCCGGCTGAAAGGACTTGTAGAATGCTTCCCAGCGTTCCCCCGTCTCTCTTGCCGACTGCATTGTGCTCACAGGTGGAGTGCCCTGAAGTGTCCTCCTTTAACGTCCCCTTCCCGTGACGCTGACCTGTTATAAATGAGCGGGCAGCGGGAAGTGGCAGCAGTGACAGGGCGAGCAGGGAGCCAAGGAATACTGTGGGAAAAAGGCTTTACAAAGACTCGCAGAGATGTACGAGCGGTGGAGAGAGCATTGTCGATCTTCTGTCCTTCCGGCTTGTCCCAACAGAAAGAAAAATAATGTCAGCAAATGTCTTATCCTAAAACATGTTGTGTTTTGCAGACTTTTAAGCAAGAGCCTGTGAATGACTATTTGATTGATAGTGCGGTCCTCTCCATTTCTTTTTCACATTTATTTTCTGAAAAAGCTAATAGTGAGGCCAACTATACATACGCGTGAATACTAGTGATAAAATAACTTAGTATCGACACATTTTGTGCCTCAACATATATCGTCTGTACATATGACCCACATATGAAGAGATAGAGACATTTGCCATAAACTTTTTGATGAAGACGTTTCATTGACACTAAATATTAATTGATTCATATTGATTTTCTTACTGTATGCTTTCTAATGAACTGATTTAAATTACAACATGTCTTTAGCAGGATTATTTTTTCTGCATTGTACATGTAGCTGTGGGATAAAGGAGCTTGACCAGTTATCCCAATCATATTCTCAAGCAATAAAGGGTCCAACAAAAATAGTTATTGAGACAAAGCACTAGAGTTACACAGATTCAATTACATAGCTTGTTAATTTTTGTTTGAATGGCATTATTCTGTTGCAGTATGGACGTTTTCACAGCTCTGGGTGTTACAGTAGTAGTCCTTACAAGCAAAATTGTAAGGACTACTTTTCCTTCACTTTGGGAATTGTCAAAATGTATTATCACCTCAAAACCAATGGAATTCTCCTTTTTTTGGCAGACATGGACATTTCCGTTTATTGTTTTTGCTGTTATTTTAAGACCGGGGCATATTCACCTGAATAGAAA